CAGCCAATTGATGATTCTCTCTCATCATTGATGTTTCTATCTCTCTCTCCCTCTCCCTTCCTCTCTGAAATCAATATATAATTTTAAAAAATATTCTTAAACAAGAACAATAAAGACTACTTATCCGCAAATACCATCAAACAACAAATGAAATTAGTAAGCTGCATGAGGAGTTGTCTGTTTAGTTCACTATTGAAGTCCCAGTGCCTAGTAGCCTGGCACATAATATATACTAAGTACCTTTTGGATAAATACAAAAAACAGAAAACATTGCAGACATCCCATTATATTGGAAATAAGACCGGTATACTTGTGTGTCTCTATTATTCCACATTACCTACGAAGTTCTATCTAATGTAGTAACACTTTAAATATTGGAAAAGAAAGTATATTGATTTCCAGATTATATAACTGCATGATTAGAAAATACAAAATACATAAGTAAAAAGTTATAACAATTATAAGTATTTAGTAAGGTGAGCAGATACAAGATAAATACACAAAAAACTAATTTTCCTTCATACTAACAATAATAAGTTAAAATTAAGTAGAAGAGAAATAAGTTTCTGAGACTCTGAAATGCAAGAAATAAATTTAACCAGAAAGATATAAAATTTAGGTGAAGAAAACTATAATATGCTCTTGGTCGTAAAACAAGACCTACACGAACAGATAAAAAGCCTTACTAAAGAGCAAAATGGAATCTAATGAATGTACTTTTAATAAAATTCTTGATGAGAGATATATCTGGAAGAATAATATATAAGGATTTATGAAAAAAACAACATTCAAAAAAACTAGAGAGGAGATTTCCCCTACTACATGGCAAAACATACTAAAAAACTGCCATGATGATATATCACTACTACTACTGTTATTAGCAGCTAATACTGAGTTTCCTATGTTCTAGGCACTCTGTAAGCACTTTACATGTAATGTAATTCTCACAATGACGATATGAGATCTGTATTCTTTATTATCTACATTTTAGAAAAACTGAAATATTAAGAGACTGAATACTTTGATCAAGGTAAATAAACATTTACTGAATGGCCAATCTTTACAAGTCTATTCTAGATGCTAGAAAGATGGCCATTAGAAAAATAGATAAAAGCTCTTACCTTTGTGAAACTCACCTCCTAGTGTAAGGAGACAGAAAATAGCAAGAAAACAAATAATTTCAGAGTAATAAAGGTGCAGGAAAGAAAAAAAAACTGGGCGACACAAAAGAGACAACCTAGATGGGGGAGTGGGGGAGGGGCCTACCTTTTATCAATGTCTAAGAAGCCAACTCTGAAAAGAACAATTTAAGTTGAACATCAAGCTAAGAAGAGGGCAGCCATGTAATAAGCTTGAAGAATATTACAGACAGGCAGAAGAGGAAAAGCCATGAGTTGGCACCAGATCAGAATGTCAAGGTATAGAAAGAAGGCCAGCAAGACTGAAGTAGAGGGCACAAGCATAGAACAATTACAGCGTGTCGACTGCAGGGACACCCTGGCAATACCTCTTACAGGACTCTATCCCACAGCAATAATAGCTTGTACACATAAAATTTTGTGATAGTTTGTAAAAACAAATGACTGGGAAAACCTAAATGTTGATCATTTGGGGAACAGTTGAATAGAAGATTGCATAACATATACCACACAGTTAATGAAAACAGTCAGCTGGTATATGCAATGGCCTGGAAAGATGTCACAGATATATTATTTGGAAAAAGCCAGATCAATATGTATGACATAATTCCATTTTTCTTTAATGAGACTCATGAGCTATGGCATCAGGAATTTTAATTCTAAGTCTGGTCCTGGAAAAATTCCACTTTGTTTCCTCCTGCTCCAAGCAAATGTTCTCCTGCATACCATGCTCCCACTCCTTTCTCTAATTCATTCCCTGCCAGCATTTCAGCTCACCTCAGCCCATTGCTTGTTTCTTTACCTGGAAACATGAACAGCATTACAAAAATTTTAAGAGCAAAGAGAACAACATTTTCTTATAACTAAAAAATTAACACAAAAGATGCTAAATAGTTTTGAAATGACTGAATCAGTTTAATGATTTTTGAATAGCCAGGTGGCATCATAAACTTAATCTATTTAAAAACCAGAAATCACATTATTATGAGTAACTAAATATTCAGTTGCCTGTGACACTAGCAAAGATGTAAATGAGTTATTCTTACCTCTACTTTTGTTCGATAGAGAACAAGTCGTTTAAGGCCACATAATTTGGCAATATGGTTGAAAGCTTGAGGTGGTAGCTTATCACAGGATGAGAGATTTAACTCCTGTAGATGTGGACACATCTCAGAAATAATCTCCAAGCAAGTTTCATTTAAGAAGTGGCTGCAAGATAATTCAAGGCGCACCAATTCGGATCCACAAACCTTCAGAAACCTGTAAAAATAATGTTCTCTGTGAATTTCATAAAACTAAAAGTATTTCTGCAAGTATTTGGAATTATATCAACTCTAAGCAGACACCTTCAGAAGAATGGATTTCCATGAGGAAAAATGTAAAACTTGTTTCACTCAAATCCTCACTTACTACATACTAAAATAGGCATGGTTAGGCTAAAATAAAGCAACCTGAGAAGATAAAATGGACTCATATCACAAAAAACTTCAACTAATGCTAAGTGAAAAATTAAGAAAGCAGAGTATGCGTTTCTCCAACGTACATGAAATTCACATCTAAGTTAGTAGAGCCAAAAAACAAAACATAACAAAACTCTAAACTCGTGGAAGATATTTCCCCCCACACAGCACCCATTCAACACTGGATAACTTATTTTGCACGTAGTACGTACAGTGACAGTTTTAATTAAATGACCTCAAAACAAATCAGACTAGTCTACTCTTACTGGGTTGGCTTAACTGTACTGCTGTGATATGTTCCTTGTAACTGTTACTATTTAGCAGTTGGACTGACACTGAAATTACTACAAGATATTCAATTGCAGCTTCACATAAAATACACAGAAACAATTCAACCTGGAGGACCCAAAGTTCCTTCTCAGAATAAAAATAACAATCTTTATCTTAGTTACATTATAGATAGGGGAAAACAGTCCTGACCATAATCATCATCTGAAAATAATCTAAAAGTAAATGTGAGTCTAGGAGTATTTGAATCCATGAAACTATCAGCTAAGCAAATTGAATCCTTAAACAGTGCACCAATCATCCCTATCCAGATCTCTCGACATCCTCTTGCCTAGTCAGTGTCACATTAGTTACATACTATTCATTTATTTATGCCAATCTCTTTCCTAAATGATTTAATGATTAAAACACATACAAAATAAAACTGACTAAATCAATCACTTAAGTAAGTAAAGGAAGTAACACTGGACTTCTAAATGAAAAGTTGGATTTTTTGTTTCCCCTACTTCCTAGCATGTAACCTTGGAAAATGCACTTACCCAGCATTTCCTCGCCTGGAAAAGGCAGACTAGAATTATCTAATAGCACTCACCACACTATCTCATGGTTTTGAACATCAAATAATATGTGAAAGCAGTTTGGAAAGGTCAAAGCACCCACAAACACTAAAATAAAAGTTAAATCTTGGACAACTCATATTCAAACAATAAAAATAGTTGCTATAAATTTATTTGATCAGAACTGTTAAATGAATCTTCCAATTATGAAAATTCACTTGAAGAATTTAAGTTCCCTCTATGCTTGGATAGACAAAGTTCTACGAATTCAGGGTATTTTTCCCTCAATAGGGTCAAATTACTCCCAAGGAATATGACAAAATTAGCATTTTTACCTTTTTTGAGTATACTTAGTTTTGGGTAGTTCTTCATCCTATCTAATAAAGAGGGAATATGCTAATTGACCCTCACGCCATCGCAGAGATGGCAGCACCCACAGCCAAAAAGGAGGGAATATGCTAATTGACTGCCACGCCCTCAAAGATGGCGGCATGACAGCCAATAAGGAGGGAATATGCTAATTGACTCCCATGCCCTCATAGATGTCGGCGCCCACAGCCACAAGATGGCGGCACCCAGTCCCCTCAGCCCCGCCGGGGCAGCAGGCACACGACAAGGCCAGGCCGGCCTCATGTACCTGCCTCCGGGTACCTCAGTCCCCTCAGTCTCCCAGCCACCCAGGGCCGGCCTGAGGCACAGGCAAGCCTTGGATGGCGTTTGCCCAGCTGCCCAGAGCCGCCCGAGGGCCCAGGGCACTGCCGGCAGTGGCAGCAGCAGAGGTGTGATGAGGGCGTCGCCTTCCCCTGATCACCAGGTCACCTTCCACCCCTGAGGGCTCCCGAACTGTGAGGGGGGGGCAGGCCGGGCTGAGGGACCCCCCTCCAGTGCATGAATTTCATGCACTGGGCCTCCAGTTATTTATAAACTAGCAATCTAGAAATAAATGGACAAAGTTTCAGAGAATTAATGATATCCTATTTTGATTTGATACTTCTGAAATTAACTGCAGCTCACAGAAGTTAAATGAGTATATTAACTCTCTTAAAATTAAAATGTTTAAACATCTTATCTCTTAAAGGTCTTCATTATTTAGAGAACAAAGCACTTTGTTCTAGAATTCTTTTTCATATTGGACTTGGGATACTTTAACATCCCTTTTCTCCTTGCTCTCATTATTGAACTTTTCCCCCTAAAGAATTTACAGTGACATCAAGCCAATCACCAGGCCAACTTTAAAGAGACTAGAAAACTTGCCAAACTGATTTAATGAATGACAGGATTTGAAAGCACAATAATAGCCATGCCTATACTGCCTTTATGTCTCTCTTTTCCTTTAGTGCATATTTTTACTCTGAGCAGATTATTTGGTCAACATCCCCAGTCTCTCTTCCTAAATTTACAAGATCTACATTACCTACTTTTTCATAACATGTCCATTCCAAGAAGGTAGAAGTAGCAGCAGACCCAATTAATTAATGCTGCTCATGTACATCTTATTTTAATGCATAATTACATAATGTTTTTGTCTTGATCCTCTATTTATTCATCTCAATTGTGATATTGGTCACCTAAACAGAGAACTACAGCTTCCTTAATTCCTACAGCCTATTCATTCCAGGTTATGAATTCTCACAAAGTATTTCTTGATTTAAAGGTATTATGAGAAGACCTAGGTTCAGATAAACAATCCCAAACTAGGTCTCCTGCTATAAGAAAAGGAGTCTCTGGAGAGAGAAATAAATTGCTTATCCTTATGAGGTGAATTAATTTGTCCAGAGTAATGTAAACACCTAAGAAGTAATTTACTAAATTGTAACTTGCATCCTAAAATAATTAACATCACATGAATGAATGATTTAATCTGAGTTTACTCATCACAAAATAAAAGGCACTAATCCCCACAATCCTCCTGATATAGAAAGGTAAGGGGAGAATTAGATACAAATATCCATCACCCCTGATTCCTACTCTTATGCTTTGTTAGCTGACCCTTATGGAGTTTTACAAAATAGCACATTTAAGATCATTTGTAATCTCAAATAACTTGGAACATTATTTATTACATCTGGTCCAAAATAAAGCCATTAAAAACAAGACTTCCTGCCTAACTGTGTATGGTATTATCTGGTAATAGTAGAAGAAAGTCAATAAATAATCCCTAATCTCTAGATATTGACAATCAAAAAGAGACAACTGTTTGAAGTACAGGCAAGCAATTGAATAAAATAATATGTAAATAGGCAGTAAGTTCTTTATCCCATAAAACTGTAGCTCTGTGTCAAACATCTAATAAAGTACTTGAATCTAGAAAGTATTCAAGAATGTTTCTGAGGGAAATAAGTGGAGGGTTAGGGTAAAAATCTCTGCCTAACTGAGGTGGAGATCAAGGTGATCAGTTTGGGTAACTATCTGAAGAAAAATAGTACCTAGGCTTTTGAACATCAGAATGATATGATTAAGGAATAGCCAAGACTTTAGGGAACTGTATTATAAAAGAAAAGTAGAATTATAATATATGTGATTTTTATGAATAATAATATGCATAAGCAGTACTTGAAATTGCAAATCATAAATCTGTAGCTAGAACAGGATTTTAATAACTGATTAAAAGTTTTAAATTCTTGTTATTCCAATTTAACCTATTTCCCTGCTATTTTGAATAATATGAATTCCTAAAAAATTCTTTAAAATCCAGTTAAACAGTTCCAACTTGTGGGGATTAGGTTTTTAGGCAACAAAAAATAAACTGTATCAAACTTTTTCCAAAGACTTGCTAAAATAGCAGCTCATCATCATTGGTCTCTAGTCTAAAAATGTACTTTTGTCTTTAAAGTATTATAAATAAGTCTTCTTCACAGTAATGAGCACAAATAGGCCATACTTATTCATACGTTATTCATTAATAATCAAGCCATGAATATTTATTGTTTATTCTGGGAATGCTGCCTACAAGCCATAATGACTATCAATTCAGCAGTCAAGTCATGGGGGCCAACAGCAATCAGGAGGCAAAACTCCAGCATCTTCCGCACCCCCAAAAAGATTTCCTCCCTGTTATTTAAACATTTTCTTTTCTTAATGGGAACAATGACTATGCTTAAAGGAATGCCATCAAGATTTATGGTTTTACTGGCTGAAAACTACAGTAAAATATGGAAAACTTAAATTTATGTATGTGTACTTTTGTGATTATTCAAACAGCCCACAGCAACTAACATGGATGGATTGAAAATGAAACAGAAATTGCTGGTGAGAAAGTAGATTGGAGCTTTAACCTTGTAAAAGAAGATCTTTAGTCATTATGAGTCTAAAATTTTAAAAATAGCATTCCTAAGTTTTCTTCTCACAACTTATGTTTCTGCTCATGCATCAGAATGAGTTACATTCAGAGAGTTTTTAAAAACTGATTTAATATTACCTTTACCTTTTACTCATTATAACATTTTTATAGGCAACATTTTGCCAAAGAAGCTGGAGTTTAGCCATTCACTACCAATGTTTCCTTTAATGTCTATTTAAAATACCAGAAAGGTCCTTATAATGTAAAATAATGCTTACTGACACCAACTGTTCTATCTGCTCTCAGTTTGTCTTGGTTTATAATCCATAGTGTATGCTCTAAATACCCATAATCATCATTAGCTTCAGTTCTTCTTGATCCTATTAGCAGAGAGGAAAATTTGTGAATGAAGTGTGTGTTTGGGCAAGGGTGAGTAGAAAGGACTAAAGAATGTTCCACTAAATACTTGTCATTGTCTAGCAACTTAAAAAAATTTACTGAAACCACACTGCTAAAAGAAATGCTTTATTTTTCTACTACAGATATTTCCTCCTAATGAAAATGAATTTGGTGTACACAGCATGTTATAAAGTCTTTAGAATCTCTGACCCACAATACCATAATATTTTATCAAAGAACCCCTTCCCCTGGCTCCATTTTTGGCAGAAAAGACAGGCAGTCAGTACATCCATGGTTTCAACATGTGTTAATAAGCTATTAAATGCTTGTGTAAATTTTTCACTTCATTGCATAAACTATCAATATTAGCATTTTGAACACACTTTTAGTATTTAAAACATTATTACTGTATGTGAATATAATGGTATCAAATATTTATTTTATTTTATGGAACTTCATGCTTATTTTTATAATATAAGTCAAGGGGAAATAAGGCTCAATATATAAATTTCTAATTCATAAACCACTGTTCAAGAATGTGGCCACTAGGGATGTGTGTCGGGAGAACTGAAGTTCATTTTTAACTTCGAAAAACAGGGTAGGAGAGTATTCATTAATAAAAAATAATGGGTAGTTTTCCCAAAGTTTCTACTTGTTCATTATTTAGCTTAATGAAATGATGGGATTAGATTGTAGCACACTGTGAGAATAACCATCATCAAGGTTAAGAGAAAAACATCTATTTGTACCATAAGAAAAATTACCATGGCATTACTAAATGAATATGCACTTATGCAAGCTTTACCATGTTTAACAGGTGACATTTAATAGCAAAGAAACTAAATGCTTAAATAGAAAGGAGCAGAAACACCTGGGCAGGTCTGCAAGTGTGGTCGCCTCGTTAGCATGCAATTGCATTTTCAACATAATTAGTTTAAATGTGCTTCTAAATTTGGGTGATGTATTGCACATGTAATTAAGATTTAATTAAAAATGTTCTATAATAAATTGTTTTCCATTTCTGACAAATCACATTAGAGAGGTGGATTTTGATTTAGAAATAGTTTTTTAAATGTGTTAATCATCTGTGCTGGAAATATGAGAAAGAAAAAAAAGGAGCTCTGTTAAAGTTATTTGGGATTTTAAAAATATGAGGTAAAGGGCATAGTTTCCCTTCCTATTATCATGAAGTGTAGCTGAAAAGGTGAAACTCATTCGCTTTTATAAGCAGAAGCATTCTGAACAGGATGATGCACAAAATGTATTTCTTTTTTATTTCTGTAAAGTATATGATTTCAAACTTAATTGTGGAAACTACTACATAATAAGTACAGCCTGCTGGTGAAATAATCTCAACAACTTGGCACTAACCTGCTGAATCCTGCAACAGAGATGAAGCCCCTATTGCCAGTCCAAGATAAGTTAAGCCACTGGACGAGAGTGCAGCGAGCCTGCAGAAACTCCAGGGAGGTGTCATTGAGTTTTGCCCAGTAAGGCTGCAGATTGAGGTGGATGTACTGGAGAGGATCGTAGCAATGCTGGTTCAGCAGTTTGCAAGTCTGTGCTAATCTGCACAGGTCTGGTAGTGTAAGATGATTCAGAATCAGTTGAATGAGCTACATAAAACAGAGAAACCAATATCATCAAGAATGAAAAAGAGAACAAGAGTATCATGTATTTTATAACACTACTTTCACATACTAAAAAGATCAACATTGAACTGAATTAGCCAAAACAGAAGAAACCATACCTACTTAAGACTTAATTACATTTCAAAATGTTCAAAGTACACTCAGCTCAAGTTGACTAATTTTTTTTTATAATGCAAAGATGCATTTTGGAAATCTGTTGAAAAATACAAATTTTCATAGATTCAATATTTACTAAACATCTACTATAAATCAAACACTGATGATAGAGAGAAAAGAGTTCCCAGTTTCAAAGTTTTCAGAGTCCAGTGGGGACTGGTAAATACAATGACATGTTTCAATAGCTTTGATAGAGAGAAGCACAGGCTGCCACTAGAGCAGGGGTGGGCAAACTTTTTGACTCGAGGGCCACAATGGGTTCTTAAACTGGACCGGAGGGCCGGAACAAAAGCATGGATGGAGTGTTTGTGTGAACTAATATAAATTCAAAGTAAACATCATTACATAAAAGGGTACGGTCTTTTTTTTTTTTAGTTTTACTCATTTCAAACGGGCAGGATCCGGCCCGCGGGCCGTAGTTTGCCCACGGCTGCACTAGAGCCTAACACAAGACAGGGGCCTCACCACAAAATGAAAGAGGACTTGTACCAGGAAGGTTCAGCTTTAAAGGGTGAGAGGCAAACTAGGTGAAAAGACAGACATGTCTTTCTCTGACTGGCTTCTTTCACTTAGCATAATACTCTCCAAGGGGAAAAGTAACCTAGAGATAATTTAAAATATATAAGAGGGTGTGTTTAGGTTACATGCAAATACTATTATCATCTACGTATATAATAGAGGTATATGCAAATTAGCCCAGACGCCATAACGTCACGACCAGACAGCAAGGACCTGAGGCTGCATGGTGCCTGGCCGGAGTGAGGGGCCTCAGGCCGCGTCCCCCGCCCTGGTGCCCCCTGCCCTGGCGCCAG